ATTTATGAGAATCAACTTAAATTAATAAAATTACAATTAAAATCAATAACTTTAATCTATATATTATATAAAATGCTACCCTATGCATTTAATAGGGTATGCATTTAACTAATTCAAGAAAAAAAAAAGCGAAAGTGCTTGAAATTTAAAAAATAAAAATTGTAAATGATAATGAAAGTAGTAGATGAAGAAGCAAATGAATGATCTAAGCCTTTTATTGACCTTGGGCTGAGTTGGGAGGCCCCACAGCCTGCTTGTCTCAACTATGGATTTAATGGGCCCATGGTCCTACCATTAGTATTAAAAAGGTGTAGGGTTGTAGTTGGATTTGGTCATGATCTCTTTTCCAAAGTTCCCACAGAGGAAAACTCATTGCCATTACAAGTCTTAAGAAGAAGATAAAATGGACATGTGATTGGCAAGCTGGAAAATCAGGGTGGTGGGTGAACAGCTACCTATCTCTTCTTTTTCATGGTCAGACCGTGAGATACCTACAATTCAGTATAATTGTTCACAAATGTATGTATATCAACCTTTTGATGAGTTGTACATCACCTTACACATTGATTTGTAGTTACTAATACCATTTTCTCAATCAAGAAAATAGGAAGAAAAGCCTTTTAAAGCAATTTATAAATTGATTAAACTATGTAGTGATACAATGAATAAAAAGTCATCATCAACTTCATTCAATCAAAACAAGAGTTTCTTTTCCAAATTTCAACAGCACATCACAGACATTTAAAAGAAAAAAACAAAACAAAAAAGAAACAAAACAATTGACAACAGGAATAAAAATAAAAATGAGGATTTCATCTCTCGAAAAATAAGGAAACCTCACCCAATTACCAGCTCTTGACACTATACATCATTTTCTATGTTACATAATGTGCACTGCATGTGTTGAAATGCTACCCTATGCATTTAATAGGGTATGCATTGAACTAATTCAAGAAAAAAAAAAAAAAGAGAAAGTGCTTGAAATTTAAAAAATAAAAATTGCAAATGATAATGAAAGTGGTAGATGAATAAGCAAATGAATGAAAATTGTAAATGATAAAAGTAACTGATGAATGAATGTGATAGATGAAGAGATAAAGTTAGCTTAACATGAAAGACTATAGGTCTAAATCTATCTTTCTATAATTTATATAAACTACTACTCTATGCATTTAATAGGGTATGCATTTAACTAATTGAAGAAAAAAAAAAAAGACAAAGTGCTTGAAATTTAAAAAAATGAAAATTGTAAATGATAATAAAAGTGATAGATGAAGAGGCAAATGAGTGAAAATTATATATGATAAAAATAATTAATGAATGAATGTGGTAGGTGAAGAGGCAAAATTAGCTTAACATGAAAGACTAAAAGTGTGAATCTATCTATCTACGTATATATCTATATCTATTTATATATAATATAAAATGCTACTCTGTGCATTTAATAAGGTATGCATTTAACTAATTCAAAAAAAAAAAGCATGAAATTTAAAAAATGAAAATTGCAAATGATAATGAAAGTGGTAGATGAAGAGGCAAAGTTAGCTTAACGTAAAAGACTACAGGTCTAAATTTATCTATATCTATATATATAAAAAATGATACCCTATGCATTAAATAGGGTAGCATTTTATATTTACACCCCCCAACATTAGCCCACCCCATTCCCATTGGTATTTAATGCTACCCTATGCATT